AATCCTCATCAATCTACACACAATACCCCATAATGACAAAGCGAAAACAAGTTTTTAGAAATTTTTACAAATTAAAACAGAAATACCTTTTTAACATAAGTATTCAGACCCTTTGCTATGAGATCCTGTTTCCATTGATCACCCTTGAGATGTTTTTACAACTTGATTGGAGTCCTCCTGTGGTAAATTCAATTGATTGTACATGATTTGGAAAGGCACAAAGTTGACAGTGCATGTCAGAGCAAAAACCAAGCCATGAGGTCGAAGGAATTGTCCGTAGAGCTCCGAGACAGGATTGTGTCGAGGCACAGATCTGGGAAGGATACCAAAACATTTCTGCAGCATTGAAGGTCCCCAAGAACACAGTGGCCTCCATCATTCTTAAATGGAAGAAGTTTGGAACCACCAAGACTCTTCCTAGAGCTGGCCGCCCAGCCAAACTGAGCAATCGGGGGAGAAGGGCCTTGGTCAGGGAGGTGACCAAGAACCCGATGTTCACTCTGACAGAGCTCCAGAGTTCCTCTGTGGAGATGGGAGAACCTTCCAGAAGGACAACCATCTCTGCAGCGCTCCACCAATCAGACCGTTATGGTAGTGTGGCCAGACAGAAGCCACTCCTCAGTAAAAGGCACATGACAGCCCGCTTGGAGTTTGCCAAAAGGCACCTAAAGAACTATCAGACCATGAGAAACAAGATTCTCTGGTGTGATGAAACCAAGATTGAACTCTTTGGGCTGAATGCCAAGCATCACATCTGGAGGAAACCTGGCACCATCCCTACGGTGAAGCATGGTGGTGGCAGCATCATGCTGTATGGTTGTTTATCAGCGGCAGGGACTGGGAGACTAGTCAGGATCGAGGGAAAGATGAACGGAGCAAAGTACAGAGAGATCCTTGACGAAAACCTGCTCCAAAGCGCTCAGGACATCAGACTGGGGCGAAGGTTCTCCTTTCAACAGGACAATGACCCTAAGCACACAGCCAAGACAATGCAGGAGTAGCTTCGGGACAAGTCTCTTAATATCCTTGATTGGCCCAGCCAGAGCCCGGACTTGAACCCGATCAAACATCTCTGGAGAGACCTGAAAATAGTTGTTCAGTGGACTCCCCATCCAACCTGACAGAGCTTGAGAGGATCTGCAGAGAAGAATAGGAGAAACTCCCCAAATACAGGTATGCCAAGCTGGTAGCGTCATACCCAAGAAGACGCGTAGCTGTAATTGCTCCAAAAGGTGCTTCAACAAAGTACTGAGTAAAGGGTCTGAATACTTATGTAAATGTAATATTTCCTTCTTTTTTTATATATATAAAATTGCAAAAGTGTCTAAAAACTTGATTTTGCTTAGTCATTATGGGTTATTGTGAGTAGATAGATCAGGAAAAAAAACAATTTCATCCATTTTAGAATACGGCTGTAATGTAACAAAATGTGGAAAAAGTCAAGGGGTCTGAACACTTTCCGAATGCACTGCATATCTAATCAAATCAAATGTTATTTGTTACATGCACCGAATACAACAGGTGTAGACCTTACTGTGAAATGCTTACTTACAAGCCCTTAACCAACAATGCAGTTCAAGAAATAGAGTTAAGAAAACATTTACTAAATAAACTAAAGTAAAAAATATAACAAAAAGTAACACAATAAAATAACAATATTGAGGCTATATACAGGGGTACCGGTACCGAGTCAATGTGTGGGGGTACAGGTTAGTCGAGGTAAATGGTGTTATTTCATGGGGGCCTGGATAATACGGAGTGTTGCTGGCCTTTTACTCCACCCATTCAATTGGCCACGATGCAAATATACGAATGACATATTGGCTTATAGAGATAATACTATTCTTTATGCCGCTGTAAAATTGGGGTTGGGTTAGTACTCAGTAGGGTCTGTAGAATCTACACTGAACAAAAATATAAACTCAACATGCAACAATTTCAAAGATTTTTGCTGAGTTACAGTTGGTCACAGATACCTTTAAAAAAAGGTAGGGGCAGGAATCAGAAAACCAGTCAGTATCTGGTGTGACCACCATTTGCCTCATGCAGCACTACACATCTCCTTTGCATAGAGTTGATCAGGCTGTTGACTGTGGCCTGTGGAATGTTGTCCCACTCCTCTTCAATGGCTGTGTGAAGTTGCTGGATGTTGGTGGGAACTGGAACAGGCTTTCGTACACGTTGATCCAGAGCATTCCCAAACATGCTCAATGGGTGACATGTCTGGTGAGTATGAAGGCCATGGAAGAACTGGGACATTTACAGCTTCTCCAGCGTGCCAGTGGCCATTGAAAGTGAGCATTTTCCCACTGCAGTCAGGTCAAGACCCTGGTGAGGACGACGAGCACGCAGATGAGCTTCCCTAAGACTGTTTCTGACAGTTTGTGCAGAAATTCTTCGGTTGTGCAAACCCACAGTTTCATCAGCTGTCCGGGTGGCTGGTCTCAGACAATCCCGCAGGTGAAGAAGCCAGATGTGGAGGCCCTGGGCTGGCGTGGTTACATGTGGTCTGCGGTTGTGAGGCCGGTTGGACGTACTGCCAAATTCTCTAAAGCAACGTTGGAGGCGGCTTATGGTAGAGAAATGAACATTCAATTCTCTGGCAACAGCTCTGGTGGACATTCCTGCAGTCAGCATGCGAATTGCACTCTCCCTCAAAACTTGAGACATCTGTGGCATTGTGTTGTGTGACAAAACAGCACATTTTAGAGCAGCCTTTTATTTTCCCCAGCTCAAGGTGAACCTGTGTGATGATCATGCTGTTTAATCAGCTTCTTGATATGCCACACCTGTCTGGTGGATGGATTATCTTGGCATAGGAGAAATGCTCACTAACAAGGATGTGAACAGAATTGTGCACAAAACCTTTTGAGAAATAAACTTTTTGTGCGTATGGAACATTTCTGGGATATTTTATTTCAGCTCATGAAACATGGGACCAACACTTTACATGTTGCGTTAATATTTTTGTTAAGTGTATATAAGGGGGACTGAATAAAACAACGTGTTGCTGGGCTTTTACTCCACCCATTCCATTGGCCTCAATGCAATACACTGTATATGAATTACATATCGGCTTATAGAGAAAAAACTATTATATGTGCTGATGTAAAAGCGGGGTTGGGAGTACTCAGTAGGGTCTGTAGAGTCTATATTTGTTGTTATTTCATGGGGGACTGGATAATACGGAGTGTTGCTGGGGTTTTACTCCAACCATTCAATTGGAAAAATCTGTATCGATATCAGTTGCATTTTTCTATTTGATATTGTTATCATACGGATGTTAGCTAGCTGGCTATGGCTATCCAACACTTGAACTCTTCCAAGTCAAGATAAGCTTTTGGTTTGATTAATTTATTGCCACCGGGGCCCGCCGGTGTAACTGCTAAACTGCTTGCTGACTGTACACTGTACTGCATTATTGTAGCGGGTTTACTAACGCGTTAGTTTTAGTAGCTATGTTGACTATGACGTTACTAACGTTGTTAGCTAATATGGTGACAATGATGTAGGCTGTGTGTAGCGGTTAGCGGTTATGATATGAAGGTTTGGCTTGGAAAGGTTTTTTCATCTGGTCACAGACAGCTGATGTGTTGTGCACTGAAGTCCACAATTGAAGGGAAAAGGTGAGAGGAGGAGATCGCGTAGATGCGAGAAGGAATTATACAACGAGCAAAATGTTCATGCTGTTTGTATGTGGCTGCTATGAAAGTGAACTGTGTTTGCGTGTGATTAGGTGTGTATTCATTCCGCCGATTCTGTTTAAAAAAAAGTATTAAACGGAAGCAAACGAAATGTGGATAAACATACCTGAATTTGTCCAATAGAAACTCTCATTTGCAACTGTTGAACTAATGATTACACCCTAGATCAGCTAGATGCAGGAAAGAGTGTGCAAGGCGGTATTGAATGTGTCATTGTGTCACCTTGATTACTCCAATTTTTCTCTCCACCTGTGCACCTACATTGCAAACTTTAATTCATAGGCTAGGTTGTAGCAACCTCATGATGGGTATATGGACAATTTGAGTATCATGTAGTAGCCTAAACCTATCGATGTTACATTGAGCTGGGTGAATGGAATATGAATGACAGTCATCCAATATGCTGTAATAGAAGTAAGGCCATGCTCATAAAAAATATTATTGTCCTCCCTCATCTTAAACATCACCAAACGCCACTGCTCCCATATACGCTACATTTATCAATAGATGCAGTGTGGATTATGTTCCTTTTATGTAAAATTGACTCAGTAGGCAAATTAATTTGAGAGAATTGTCCAATTTATTCATGTATCATGGCTATGCCTATACTTTGTGGAGATCATGAGCACATGTATAAACATATTGCCTAACAAACTTTGCACATGCTGTCAAGCAATGGGATTTAGTAAAGGAAAGTATTAAAACCTCCCTACTACACCTGGCTTGTCATAATCACTTCCCCCTTTACATTCTTCAAAGGCCCCAGGTGAATCGTCACACTTGTATATATCTGGTGACTGCTCTGATCCTTTGCTTTCATTTCCCTGGTATTTACTTGTTATATTTCAAGACAAACACAGCTGATGATGCACTACACCTATAAAAACCCATGCAACAACAGTTTGCCTACCTCAATCACAAAGTGGCATGGATTGGACTATGCTTGGTGTCATCCTTTCTATGTAAGTACTAAAGTTTGAAATTGATACTCACTTTTATTTTTGTTCCTTTTTTGTTTTTAATTACCAGTATTTTAGGCTACAACGTTGGCCTAGGTGTAAAGTCAATATAAATTCATCGAAGTCATTCTTTATTAGATTTTATGCCAAAATGGCTAGCTAATGTAGGTGTTAGATAATGTCTTGGCCTGCATGTTTTGTATAATCTGTTTATCTACACAGGAATGGTTGAACATTTCACATTAAAGTATTTTCTTTTCTTACAAGAGTGACTATTGATCTACTTTACAGTAGGACTACCCTATTTGTCTAAACTATTCTGCCTTGTTTTCTGTAGTTGTTTTGTCCTGCCTATCAAAGGGGGTGTCCTGAAAGTTCAGAAAAGAGACTGGATGGGGAACCCACCAGCAACTTTAACAGGTACGGTTAATTTATCTATGAAGGTTTTTTCCCTTTCTAAGCTATATTTAGTTTTATGTAAGAATTGGACGTCAGTGTTTGACATTGGACAACTGAAAGGCAGGAAAAATAACTAACTAGGGTTGCAAATGGAGGGTATATTACTGGAAACTTTCTAAGTTTACCAGTAAACTACCAGCATTTGGTCACTTTTAAGTTTTTATTTGTATTTTATCAGATGACATAGTGACCCTTTTGGGTACTTCAGATTATCAAACGTGTCTGCAATTATCTCTGGCCCTCTGTGTGGCCTTATCACATTTAAAATATATAAAATGATAAGATAAGATTATTTAAAAATAAAAATAGAATGACAAAGCTGTAAAACATGATCCTAAATATAAACCATCAACTTAGTGAATACCATTGGTTTCATCATGAAATATCCTCACTTTTATTTATTTTACTAAGTCAATATGTCTTTGTTGTAACAGTTTTGTCGCCAAACTGGTGTCAGTTGTGAAAAAAGTCAATGGTTGGAAGAGTTGCAGTTAATTGAAACCTAGTCTTGAAATATTTATGGTTGTGAAATAGTAGTAGTAGTGGTAGTGGTAGTGATGGCAGTAGTAATTGTAGTAGTAGTAATGGTAGTAATAAGGTTTTCATAGGCTATGTGTTAGTTATAGTGACCTATTTTGGGGTGGTTTGTTGGTGTGGAGTTATTAAAGTGGGTTATAGTGGGTTAGTATATTATGCTAAGGCAAAGGGTAGCTACTTTGAAGAATCTCAAATATAAAATACATTTTGATTTGTTTAACACTTTTTTTGGTTACTACATGATTCCATATGTGTTATTTCATAGTTTTGATGTCTTCACTAATATTCTACAATGTTGAAAATAGTCAAAATAAAGAAAAACCCTTGAATGAATAGGTGTGTCCAAACTTTTGACTGGTACTGTACATGTCAACGCTGGTTTGGTGTTTGTAGCTTTAACAGTTGAAGAGCAGTGACGAATCCAAATATTTCATATTCAATCCTATTAAGATTTTAAGTACATTTAAAATGGTAAGTCAGAGTGTGAATTACGTAGGATCCACTCTGGTTATAGTTCAGAAATTATAAATGGTATCAAAAAGCTGTATACAACAACCTATTCCAGACTGGTCTGCATGTTTTAAAGTTTGAGTGGCGTTTCTAGCTTAAACGGTTGAAGGCCTGAATTTTTCCCATTTATGGCAATTGAAATGCATTGGGATCTATGCAAATGTGGTAGCATAATTATTTGTATTTTGTCTGAAGACAGCCAGCCTGCATGTTTTAAAGTTGTTTTGGTGTTAGTAGCTTCAACAGTTCAAGAGCAGTGGCGAAATCAAATACTTCCCATTCAGGCCTATGGAGCTTTTATGCACATTTAAAATGATTATAGTTCAAAAAGTATAAATGGTATCAAAAGCTGTATACAAGAAACCTATTACAGACCGGTCTGCACGTTTTAAAGTTTGAATGGCGTTTCTAGCAAACTGTTGAAGACATTTTCCCATTCAATTCAATGGCCTCTGAAATGCATTGAGATGTATGCAAATATGGTTATAGTGTTCAAAGTATTAGTTGTATGAAAAAAAAAAATTCAAGCACACTGACCAGTGCCAGCCTGCACGTTTTAAAGTTGTTTTGGTATTGAGAGCTTTTAGAGTTTTGGCGCTAGAGACTCCAGCGAAATAAGAAGAAGTATGAACAGTTTCTAAAGTTTGGCTTTGCTTTCAGCAAGCACACCTAATAATGCCATTGTTGATTAGATGCTTTTTTCACTTACCGTTATGGCCACTAAGGCAATTAATTACCTGGGGCCACACATCATCAGGGGGCTTCGTGAAAAGAAAAGTCTCAACTTACTGTTGGGAGTTAGAATAGTAGAATACACAAGATTGCAATTTAGGGAGTTGGTAGTACATCAGCAGTTTTCCTCTTGTTATGTCAATCACTGACAGTCATTCAATTAGCCCATGTCAGCTAACATTTTATAGATTGCCAGGTAAGTTAGTCTAGCCAGTAATCTAAACCTTGTAGTAATCATGGCTGAATTACCGACAGGGCAGGAAGGGCACCTCCAGGGGGCTCCCCTCTAGCCTTTTGGCTAGTCAACCAGATAGTATGAACATGGCATAAGTCTAGGCGAAATGTGTAGAATTGCAGGAAATTCGCTTTAAAACTGCAAAATGTTCTCTCCACCCCATAGCAAAATGTGTAAAATTGCAGGACATATGGTTTATCCACTAGAAACTCATAGACAATACAGAGACATTTCTAGAAAATTAATAGGTCTACTAGGCCTACTGTATACGAATATTTTTTTAAAATTCAAGTATAAATTACCAAAGTTACCATAGATTGCCTGTTAATGACGAAAATTACAGGTAGCTTTGCAACACTAGACCTAACCCACTGAAATTAAACTTATTTTCAGAGGGAGATGTGGAATGCTTCTCAGAGTACATGGAGGTGTGGGTCCACAGAATGAGAATAGAGGGCTTGAGACTCTGGCTCTCCGGGGCCCTAAGAATTCAAGGTGACTATCCCAGTTTAACTAACTAATAACCTAATAATCTACCCAGCTGGCAAAACTGGTTGAAATTATGTCATTGCAACCATAAACTGGTTGTAATTATGTTATTATTATGTCAATTCAACCAGATTTGCCCAGTTTTGCTTACTGGGTACCAGCTATATTACAGCTTTTTGTGAAGCGTTTCAAAAATACATTTTGGCATTAAGCTACATCACATATTTGTTTCATTAACATTTCACATTTTGAATTCTACATGAGCGGTTGTGTCACAATCAAGATTAGGCTGCATTATTATGATTTATTGCTCTACGTTTGTTTTGTAATGCCTTTTCATCCCTTTGTCCTCAGTAGTAAGCCTTGCTTCCTTGGATCACCTGAACCTCCAGTTTTCTGCATGTGGATTCTCACTACACAAAGATCCTGACAAGAACTACATCTTTAGAGTTATGTACAATGGCTGTTTTGTCCAACATCAGGTAAGATAGCAGCAATGTAAGACTTTGGCTACGTCCTGATTCTGCACCCTTCTCCTTATTCACCTTGAGATGATCTTGTAATGAAAAGCTCTTTACAAATGCACTTGCACACTCCTCGTCAGACATGAATTAACAATGGTGGAAACTCCCTCCAGCCAATGCTCACATCAATGTTTTTACATTTGTGATGGGATTTGTGCAAGAAACATTGTAGCTAGTAGGCTACCTTTTCCTGACCCAGTATAACTACTTTTTGTTTTGTGCGATGGTTGCATCCTAGCAGCATGGCAGCAATGTCCTTGTGCTGAATTTGGTGAAGAGAATCAACCGGTTTGGAGATCGAACGCACAGCTTCATAATGAAGTGTCCAATGGTTCCTGCACCACCCAACAGAGAACACATTCAGTGTGATCCAGACGACATCCAGGTAAAGCTTTACAATTCAGTGATGTACAGTAGCAATATCTCTGTGGATTCAAATAAAGTATTTAAAGTGTGTGTGTGTGTGTGTGTGTGTGTGTGTGTGTGTGTGTGTGTGTGTGTGTGTGTGGGTGGGTGGGTGGGTGAGTTATTGGGATTGGGCAGGGAGGTGGGAGGACTCGTATCTAAGTTTATGATACCTTGAATAAAAAAGGCACATTATCCTGCACCAAATGCTATCTTCATCAATGATCAGTGGTGTTGTGACCATAGCTGAAAATGACATACAGTATTCCCACAGGTGATCAGACAGATCCCATTGGACAGCTGGAACAATGAGGTAAACAAGTTATACATACACTGTACACTGTGTGTGTGTAGTCATTAATTTACTGCATGCATCAGATCGTACAATGTACCAACACTGTGTGTGTATGCATGTGTTTGTGTGTGTGTGTGTGTACATGTTGTGTGTGTGCACACGCTCGCATTTGTCTGTTTACAGCTTCAATGGTCTCTTTCCCTGAGGGGTAATCTAATTGTAGCCCTTGAGGATGCTAGCTTGATCCAGGTGTACACTGACATGAATGGACCAAGCATCATAGTTCAAGGCAAGAGGAGAGAACTCTTGAATCCTGTGACGGTAAGTTGCCACATTGTGGCCATTCAAGAAATTACAATGGAAACCAATAATGTTACAACCCCCTAGTGGAACCAGCCTGATCGCTGTGTTCACCTTTCTGATTCCACCAAGTTAATAATATTGGTGAACTGTAGAGAATTCTTTGCATTTCAACAACGTATTTGGTCATCCATAAAAGTAAAATACTTATTGTAGTTCTCAAATGGATGGGAAACTTCAGATTGTTGTAATTGTTTGTTCTTGGATTAACTTTAAATGACAGGTAATGGAAAGGACAGGGGAATTTCTTGCCTTGAAGTTGGTCAGTGGACAGTATGCCTACAGTATGGAAGCTACCTGTCCAAATGGTGGGTCACGAAGCAACAGTCATTTACTTTGTTTAGACAATCTGGTATCAGCTTACTTAAGCTACAGCCTAGAACTGTCAGAAGTGTGACATGATGCTTGTTATAAATTATGGGCAACACTTTATTTTAAGGTTAACATATTAGCCACTAATTTGTCATTTATAAGTGTGTATATAAGTAGCTTATAAGGCATTTATTGTGTCTTATATCAATAATGCCATGATGTATAACATTTAAAAGTAGTTTAAAATATGTCAGTCATGTCAGTGTTTTTCACTGTCATAAACTGTCACAGGCATGATATCATGATAGTTATGCAGTTTGGATCCCAACAATTTCATACAGTTGCAGGCACTAAAACGTTAGGTTGTGCTATGGTATTGGCTGAACAATTGCCACAATGCATGTGCAACAATGCACTCTCTCGTCTCCTAGTGATAGCTTGCCACAAAAACCCGTACCTGTTTTTTTTCATGGACTCAATTTTTAATGCCTGCAACCACTGAATTAAATTGAACACAAATGTAATGTTAATTTCATGTAACTCTATGCCCACAACGTAATGCCACCTCCTCACACACCCTCACTTTTGATGTCCATAGTTGTGTCAGTGTCCAGCCCAGCAGCAGAGGACACTATACTGCACATTTTTAAACGGCGCATGGGTTTGACAAAAAGAGGAGGCTATGAGAGTGACACCCTAACAGTTAGCAGTGTGTCTGTGAAGCAGACAGAGAAGTTCACTGTCCATGAGACCCATGACTTTGTCCAACTCAGCATCGCTACAGCCCTTATCCTACAGGTCAAGGTAGGTGTTTTTCTGTAAAGTATTTTTCTGACCATTTGGTGCATGCAGTACAAAAAAATAGATGTGGTCATTTAGCAGACGTTTCTATCCAAAGCGATTTACAGTTCATAGTGACGCGTGGTCGATGTGAGAGTCACACTCACAACCCTGCATGTACTAGCATGCACACAAGACTGTAAGTTGCTTTGGATAAAAGCGTCTGATAAATGATCTATATTCTTCTTCTTCTTCTTCTTCTTCTTCTTCTTCTTCTTCTTCTATTATGATTATGATTATGATTATGATTATTATTCTTTAACCCACTGAGCCATAGCATTTTGACCTACATGAATGCAATTTCTACAGTTATCATACAGGCTATATACTGTATACAGTCGTGGTCAAAAGTTTTGAGAATGACACAAATATTAATTTTCACAAAGTCTGCTGCCTCAGTTTTTATGATGGCAATTTGCATATACTCCAGAATGTTATGAAGAGTGATCAGATGAATTGCAATTAAGTCCCTCTTTGCCATGAAAATGAACTTAATCCCCAAAAAACATTTCCACTGCATTTCAGCCCTGCCACAAAAGGATCAGCTGACATCATGTCAGTGATTATCTCATTAACACAGGTGAGAGTGTTGACGAGGACAAGGCTGGAGATCACTCTGTCAAGCTGATTGAGTTAGAATAACAGTCTGGAAGCTTTAAAAGGAGGGTGGTGCTTGAAATCATTGTTCTTTCTCTGTTAACCATGGTTACCTGCAAGGAAACACGTGCCGTCATCATTGCTTTGCACAAAAAGGGCTTCACAGGCAAGGATATTGCTGCTAGTAAGATTGCACCTAAATCAACCATTTATCGGATCATCAAGAACTTCAAGGAGAGAGGTTCAATTGTTGTGAAGAAGGATTCAGTGCGCCCAAGAAAGTCCAGCAAGCGCCAGGACCGTCTCCTAAAGTTGATTCAGCTGCGGGATCGAGGCACCACCAGTGCAGAGCTTGCTCAGGAATGGCAGCAGGCAGATGTGAGTGCATCTGCACGCACAGTGAGGCGAAGACTTTTGGAGGATGGCCTGGTGTCAAGAAGGGCAGCGAGGAAGCCACTTCTCTCCAGGAAAAACATCAGCGACAGACTGATATTCTGCAAAAGGTACAGGGATTGGACTGCTGAGGACTGGGGTAAAGTCATTTTCTCTGATGAATCCCCTTTCCGATTGTTTGGGGCATCCGGAAAAAAAGCTTGTCTGGAGAAGACAAGGTGAGCGCTACCATCAGTTCTGTGTCATGCCAACAGTAAAGCATCCTGAGACCATTCATGTGTGGGGTTGCTTCTCAGCCAAGGGAGTGGGCTCACTCACAATTTTGCCTAAGAACACAGCCATGAATATAGAATGGTACCAACACATCCTCTGAGAGCAACTTCTCCCAACCATCCAAGAATAGTTTGGTGACGAACAATGCCTTTTCCAGCTTGATGGAAAGGCAAAAGTGATAACTAAGTGGCTCGGGGAACAAAACATTGACATTTTGGGTCCATGGCCAGGAAACTCCCCAGACCTTAATCCCATTGAGAATTTGTGGTCAATCCTCAAGAGGCAGGTGGACAAACAAAAACCCACAAATTCTGACAAACTCCAAGCATTGATTATTTTGGCCCAGAAGTTAATTGACAGCATGCCAGGGTGGATTGCAGAGGTCTTGAAAAAGAAGGGTCAACACTGCAAATATTGACTCTTTGCATAAACTTAATGTAATTGGCAATAAAAGCCTTTGACACTTATGGAATGCTTATAATTATACTTCAGTATACCATAGTAACATCTGACAAAAATATCTAAAAACACTGAAGCAGCAAACTTTGTGAAGACCAATACTTGTGTCATTCTCAAAAATTTTGACCACGACTGTACATTCGGAAAGTATTCAGACCCCTTGACTTTTTCCACATTTTGCTACGTTACAGCCTTATTCTAAAATTGATTAAATTGTTTTTTTCCCCCCTCATCAATCTACACAAAATACCCAATAATGACAAAGCAAAAACAGATTTTTAGAACATTTTGCAAATGTATTAAAAATAAAAAATGGAAATATCACATTTACATAAGTATTCAGACCCTTTACTCAATACTTTGTTGAAGCACCTTTGGCAGCGATTACAGCCTCGCGTCTTCTTGGCACACCTGTGTTTGGGGAGTTTCTTCCATTCGTCTCTGCAGATCCTCTAAAGCTCTGTCAGGTTGGATGGGGAGCGTCGGTGCACAGCTATTTTCAGGTCTCTTCAGAGATGTTCGATCGGGTTCAAGTCCGGGCTCTGGCTGTGCCACTCAAGGACATTCAGAGACTTGTCCCGAAGCCACTCTTGCGTTGTCTTGGCTGTGTGCTTAGGGTCGTTGTCCTGTTGGAAGGTGAACCTTCGCCCCAGTCTGAGGTCCTGAGCGCTCTGGAGCAGGCTTTCATCAAGGATCACTCTGTACTTTGCTCTGTTCATCTTTACCTCGATCCTGACTAGTCTCCCAGTCCCTGCCGCTGAAAAACATCCCCACAGCATGATGCTGCCACCATGCTTCACCGTAGGGATGGTGCCAGGTTTCCTCCAGACGTGACGCTTGGCATTCAGGCGAAAGAGCTCAATCTTGGTTTCATCAGACCAGAGAATCTTGTTTCTCATGGTCTGAGAGTCCTTTAGGTGCCTTTTGGCAAACTCCAAGCGGGCTGTCATGTGCCTTTTACTGAGTAGTGGCTTCCATCTGGCCACTCTACCATAAAGGCCTGATTGGTGAAGTGCTGCAGAGATGGTTGTCCTTCTGGAAGGTTCTCCCATCTCCACAGAGGAACTCCGGAGCTCTGCCAGAGTGACCATCGGGTTCTTGGTCACGTTCCTGACCAAGGCCCTTCTCCCCCGATTGCTCAGTTTGGCCGAGCGGACAGCTCTAGGAAGAGTCTTGGTGGTTCCAAACTTCTTCCATTTAAGAATGATGGAGGCCACTGTGTTCTTGGGGACCTTCAATGTGCAGAAATGTTTTGGTACCCTTCCCCAGATCTGTGCCTCGACATAATCCTGTCTCGGAGCTCTACGGACAATTCCTTCGACCTCATGGCTTGGTTTTTGCTCTAACATGCACTGTAAACTGTAGGACCTTATATAGACAGGTGTGTGTCTTTCCAATCAATTGAATTTACCACAGGTGGACTCCAATCAAAAAAAGTTGTAGAAATATCTCAAGGATGTTCAATGGAAACAGGATGCACCTGAGCTCAATTTCGAGTCTCATAGCAAAGGGTCTGAATACTTATGTAAATAAGTTATTTCAGTTTTTTATTTGTAATAAATTAGCAAACATTTATAAAAACCTGTCATTATGTGGTATTGTGTGTAGATTGATGAGAAAAAATAATTTTTAATGTGGAAAAAGGGAAGGGGTCTGAATACTTTCCGAATGCACTGTATATAATCAAGTTGTCTTTTACAGAACTGCCCCACTGATGAGGGGATTGCACAGCCGTTCTATAGGGTAGACGTTGTGCTCACGTTTAAGGAGACTAACCACAAAATGTACTGGACTATGGAGAACACTCTGCCATGCACAGGTGAGGGGTGTGCTCAGTAACAATGAAACATTATGATCAACATTAAGCTTTTGATGTAACGCTCACAAAAAATAGTATGAAATATGCAGCATCAACGAAAAGCACAATATAATTTCACTCTTAAAAGCTACAGCAGCCCGGCCACTTGTTTTGGTATACAGCTGAGGAATGGAGCTGGGATAATGTAACCCCTTTCAAATATCATCCATTTGATAGTTTTAACATATTTTGAAGCTATACATTCTTTGTTTACATTGTTGTTTGCAAACAATGGAGTAATACAACTTTATATTTTGGGTTATGATAGGGTAAGACAGTTGTGCTAAACTCATGAGGCATTTAAAAGTTATATTCTTCAAGAATAAATATCAATCATTTAAATGATTATTGAACAGATTCCTTTTATCGCAGACTGTACCTTTAAAGTGTCCTTTTGTAGCTAATGTTTTTAATTCTGCCTTTTTGCAGAGTCCCCCAGACTGCTATCAATCTCACCAATATATTATCATACTTCAACAACATCGGACCCTATTTTGACATACACTACATCAACCCCTGCTTCCTATACCACAGTGCCCTTTAGCTCGTACTCAACAATGGACCAACAGTTTCTATCAACAGAGAAATCTCAGGAGGGCCCCTCCACCTTCCCAAAAACGACATCAATTGAGAGGACTCAGGCTGAAGAAACAGGAAGAAATACATCACCCACCAGTTCCTCACATACACAGACCTCTGGTCCCATTATCTACTGGAGTAATGTGACATCAATGACTCCAAGTACAACAAACAAAGCAACAAAGGACAAATACCAACAGACAAGCACTATAAGTGAAGCAACACAAGTGGAATTTCAAGGTACGACTGCTACAAGTGCAACAGTGCAAGTGGAATTCCAAGGTACAACCGTTACAAGTGAAACAGCACTGGTAGAATTCCAAGGACCAACGTCTACAACTGACACAATACAGTCGAGATTCCAAGGAACAAGCGGTTCAAGTGAAACAGTGCAAGAGGAATTCCAAGCAACAACCATCGCAAGTGGAACGATGCATGTAGAATTCCAAGAAACAACCATTACAAGTGAAACAGCACGGGTAGAATTCCAAGGAACAACCACTACAAGTGAAACAGCACAGGTAGAATTCCAATGAACAACCATTACAAGTGAAACAGCACAGGTAGAATTCCAATGAACAACCATTACAAGTGAAACAGCACAGGTAGAATTCTAATGAACAACCATTACAAGTGACACAACACAGGTGCAATTTCAAGGTACAAACACTACAAGTGATGCAACACAGGCGGAATTTCAAGGTACAACCACTACAAGTGAAACAGCACAGGTGGAACAACTACCGCAAGTGAAACGGTGCAGGTGTAATTCCCCGGAACAGTGGCAATTAGTACAACAGATCAGGTACCATTCCAAGAAGCGACTGCTACAGTTGAACAGGTGGAATTCAAAGGGGCAAATGCTACAAGTGGGACAGCATGGGTAGAATCCAGAGAGACAACATCTAAAAGTGAGGCAACACATTTGCAACTCCAAGACACGACAGCAAACAAATCTGAGGTTACTTTCAACTCATCACCAACAACAGACAAAACCACAGTTGTTACAGTTATTATTCCAAATTGCTGTACAAGCAAAGCCAACCATACATCCCACTGTGACTGCACCACCACCTGCTGTAGAAGCCACAGATTGGACAGGCCAAACAGTAACTCTCCCACCATCCTCTGCATGGTCATTCAGTGAAGGAGATGCCCAGATAGCACAGACTGTACCAAGGTCTGAAATACCAAACTCATCTACCGACAGTCCCATTTCGAGCACCAAGGATACGGAGGGGACCAGCCATTTTGGCAGCAGGTTGGTTACAAAGGTAGCAGGCAGCTTACGATAGACCAACCCTAACTGCAATTCACTAACCCTAGTCATTAGTTCCTATAGCTTAGCTAGCGCGTAGCCTAACTACAGTAGGCTATGTAATGCAAACTTGTAGGCATGCAAGCACTAGGCAGCTGGTTTGTGATTTGAAAGGTGCTGTGGTGGACACTAGGCCTACTGTTGAGGGTTGATTACACAAGCAGAAGCATAGCAACCTCTCTCTGCCAGCCACTGCCTGAGGGCAGACATTATCCAGACACATTCAAGCCTGCAGTTTAGTAAACATGTCTCAATCCAACATGGCTTGGAGCTTGAGGGACCGATGCTAAGAGGAAAGCTCCCGCAGTGGTGAGTGGCACTAAAACGCCTGAAAGGAAGTCATGGAAACTCATTCACGGTGATGTTTTATCCATTGGGATTCGTATGCTGGGAGTGAGGTAAACATTCAAATTAAATGTGTAATTGTAGTTTACTATAATATTATTCACTACCGTTCAAAAGTTTGGGGTCACTTAGAAAGTTCCATGTTTTCCATGAAAACATACATGAAATGAGTTTGAATAGGAAATATAGTCATTGACAAGGTTAGAAATAATGATTTTTAATATAATTAATAATTGTGTCCTTCAAACTTTCCTCCATTTGCAGCAATTACAGCCTTGCATTCTAGTTGTCAATTTGTTGAGGCAATCTGAAGAGATTTCACCCCATGCTTCCTGAAGCACCTACCAGAAGTTGGATTGGCTTGATGGGCACTTATTACGTACCATACGGTCAAGCTGCTCCCACAACAGCTCAATAGGGTTGAGATGCGGTGACTGTGCTGGCCACTCCATTATAGACAGAATACCAGCTGACTGCTTCTTCCCTAAATAGTTATTGCAAAGTTTGGAGCTGTGCTTTGGGTCATTGTCCTGTTGTAGTAGGAAATTGGCTCCAATCAAGCGCCGTCCACAGGGTATAGCATGGCATTGCAAAATGGAGTGATAGCCTTCCTTCTTCAAGATCCCTTTTACCCTGTACAAATCTCCCACTTTACCACCACCAAAGCACCCCCAGACCATAACATTGCCTCCACCATGCTTGACAGATGGCTTCAAGCACTCCTCCAGCATCTTTTCATTTGGTCTGTGTCTCACAAATGTTCTTCTTTGTGATCCAAACACCTCAAACTTCGATTCGTCTGTTCATAACACTTCCAATCTTCCTCTGTCCAATGTCTGTGTTCTTTTGCCCATCTTAATCTTTTATTTTTATTGGCCAGTCTGAGATATGGTTTTTTCTTTGCAATTCTGCCTAGAAGGTCAGCATCCCGGAGTCGCCTCTTCACTGTTGACGTTGAGACTGGTGTTTTGCGGGTACTAATGAAGCTGCTAGTTGAGGACCTGTGAGGCATCTGTTTCTCAAACTAGACACTCTAATGTATTTGTCCTCTTGCTCAGTTGTGCACCAGGGCCTCCCACTCCTCTTTCTATTCTGGTTAGAGCCAGTTTGCGCTGTTCTGTGAAGGGAGTAGTACACAGCGTTGTACGAGATCTTCAGTTTCTTGGCAATTTCTCGTATGGAATAGCCTTCATTTCTCAGAACAAGAATAGACTGACGAGTTTCAGAAGAAAGTTATTTGTTTCTGGCCATTTTGATCCTGTAATCGAACCCACAATTGCTGATGCTCCAGATAATCAAATAGTCTCAAGAAGGCCAGTGTTATTGCTTCTTTAATCAGCACAACAGTTTTCAGCTGTGCTAACATAATTGCCAAAGGGTTTTCTAATTATCAATTAGCCTTTTAAAAAGATAAACTTGGATTCGCAAACACAACGTGCCATTGGAACACAGGACTGATGGTTGCTGATAATGGGCCTCTGTACACCTATGTAGATATTCCATTAGAAATCAGCCGTTTCCAGCTACAATAGCCATTTACAACATTAACAATGTCTACATTGTATTTCTGATCAATTTGATGTTATTTTAATGGACAAAAAAATTGCTTTTCTTTTCGAAAACAAGGACATTTCTAAGTGACCCCAAACTTTTGAACGGTACTGTAATGTTTAATATTTATCTTGTGATATTACTGAAATGCAATGATGCATATTGTTTGATACAGTATATCTCCTTACAATGCATGGAAAAATGTTGTGTGTTGATTGTGTTGTATTGCCTGATGATAGTAGCCTACAGTGAATTTCATACCCCTCAATTATACAGAATAGTGCATATTATTTTAGGTGTATGCATCCTGAGAGTAATGTTGGCATACTATTGTGTAAAACCATTTCAAAGGCAAGATATAATAATAAAATAATAAAATTATCCTGTTTTCTTGCATAATCCAACATCTGCTTTGAAACAGTAACATATAAAGTAATAGCTTGTTTTTGTTTTTAAATAAATTATGCAAACCATCTGGTCTACATTTAACATTTGAAGTACTATATGATTTTGCAGTAGTTGCAGTCTATTTATTGGATGAAGGAGGGCGCTATTGTTCATGTTTTCTCTTGATTTTAAAAGATGAATGGGTTGCATTTCCAGAGGGAAGCTCACAGTTCAGCTAAAACTGAAGGTATTTACATTTTAATGTAATTTTGACCTCAATTCTGTTTTTCATTTATTCTTTCTTTTAAAAAACGAACAGAAAAATACGCATTTGATTGAAATGAAAGGTCTAAATGAATAGATTTATTTTATTGATACTGTATCAAGGTACAGTAGGCCTATTATCCAGAATTTTCATTAAAGCATCCAAATGAATAAATAATTACTTTAAGAAATAATTGGTGGTAACATTTCCTGACCATTCATAGTGAACCAAATCCTGTTAATAAATGTAATTGGTTTTTGTCATGACAAATTTGAGTGAAACATCCCTATCCATTTTGTACACCTTGGTTATTTTGCCCTCATCCTACGCACTGGAGATTCCATCCATTATAACAAAGCACTGTTACGCAGTTAAATGCATCATATACAATGGGCTGTCAAGCAGAAAATCTAAACTTCCTTGTGCCTTTGGTCCCCATCTGGCATATGAACTTGTGAGAAGGAAACATGATAGTGCCGCAAAGTACACCAACATCCTACGTCCATGTGGCCTCTCTCTGCCATTATTCTATCTGTATAGACTATTAACTGTCTTTACAAAGTAAAAAATCCCTTTCATGTGTTTGTGTGTCTTTTTTGTGTTTTAATTTCAGTCAAAGCATATGGTTTGCACATCTGGGAGATACTAAACATGATGGCACCCAGCCCCCACACTGCAGCTGTGAAGTGATCCATACGTGGTCTTTACTGCTATTGCAAACGATCCCTTTCTTGACGGGCTATGTTCTCAGAGGGATTTTAATGTGTTAGGTGAATTAAGAAATGTACACAATAATTGACATATACATTTACAGTAAACTTAAAAAATCCAGTCTCAAAGGGCCAAAGCTTTTACAGTTGTTGTTTTGTTGGTGCACTGCAATATAGACATCTATACATTTTTGCCTTTGAGTTTGAGAAAGTTGAAACAATGCAGAGCCTTCTTTCTTCAGTCTAGTATGCAATTACATTTTCCAGGCACCTGTGACTAATTTGGATGTGCTTACATAACCTATTTCACTTATGTCATAATTTTTTGAAACTGTGGATGTACTTCTACTGTAAAGAAGTGAAGTGGGATGTCTTGAGATTGCTGTGTAGCCTACTGTGCATCTGCTTTTTCTCATGCCTAGGCCTGGCTGGTTGGTGAAACCAACGAACATACTCAATCTATTCTGCTGCGGCCTAAGGTCTAATACCATTTCTCCAAGACAACAACACCACATAAAGATAACAGTAACACACACAAAGATGTTGGCTGTGCCATATTTTCACACACAAAACACAAGTTGCCACAACCCCCCCCCCCCCCCCCCCCCCCCAGAAATCAGTGGAGTATCACAATGTTGAGTGAAGGTTGATTGGAGATCCTGTTCAGCAGCTCACAGGTCAGTGGAGCAGCTTGTAGTGCCATTGCCTCACATGTTTTGGAGAGGTGGATAGGGAACCATGCCATGGGGGTATGGAGGGAGAGGGAGAGGGTAGGAAGGGGATGTGAGGGTTTTCGGTGGTTTCACTGGGCCTCTTCATCTCGCTTGGAGGGTAATTACAAAATCACGGGTCAACCATGCATGTAACCACGGTTACGTTGCACAGTAGCAGATGTGCTCGTGGCATTATCGGGTGCGAGCGCAAAGGTAAACAAAAACAGAT